ATATAAAGGATACAAACACCTGTGCATACCATAAATCCCGAACAATTAAACAAAAACAGTGCTGGCATATGAATGACTATGGGAACGACACACGTGATTACCGAATGTGTGTGTGAACTTTTGCTAACCCGACGAATACCAAGAAATAGAATACAACTTTAGTACCATTGGAAAGGTGGGAATAAATGAAAATTTATGATACTGAGAACGTGAAAAACCATTCAGGAATGAATGAGATACAAGGACATGAAGTTAGAAACCTGAAAACGCACAGGAGGACAGCTTCTAGAGGTCCAGAGTCCCAAATAAAAGACATAAAAATATGATATCTTCGAGGACGACCTTTTATAACAACGAATAATACATATGAAGAACTAGGATGCAATAATACAAAGGGGAATCAGGGGAGATGGACGAAATCCATGAAATCCACTAAACTACAACAGACCATGATGGGAATTTTTGGGAACGATATACTAATGAAGCAGAGAGCTATAATACATTCATTTGAACAATTCTTGACTACTAGCAACTTTTTCTTTTGGTTCTAAACCTGAACAATTCACTCATTTATTATTTCAAGTCTCATTTCAACTAAATGTTACTGGATAAAAATAGAATAAATCAGCTGAAGGTCTCAGTGCAGCCATACACATAATAATGCGAAGTTTGAATTCAGATTGACCGAGTCATAGCGAACTTAATGGTAAATATGAGGAATTTGAAATAGAAAACTGTGACAAATGCAGTGCAGTCAAGTTCTAATTAACCATTAAAATAGCTTAGGTGAGGAAGGACAATAAGGATTCTAGGCGCAGTCTGACTGCAGTAGAACTATAGCATGAAATTTTCATTTTTTATTCAGTTTGAGGAAAATACACTGTAAATAAATCCTGTAAATACGAGGTAGAGCATGAAAAAGGAAGGCAACCCAAGGAGTATAAAAGGGAGACCCTTTCTGCGACCTTTTGCCCCCCTCAGAGAAGTAAGAAAATAGAGTATTATTTTTCTCAAGCATTTCTGGTTGTCACTCCAACGCAAAAAAGTGATATACAGTTAAGATTGCCACTGTAGTAAAAGGCAGCAATTAGGGAGAGGAATATTAAGTAAATATTTCAACAGGAGAGCTGGTTAACACTCCAGATTTCAAAGTGTAAACACAAAACAGTCATTTTGCTACTGTTAAAACAAGCAATAAAATAAGACAAAAATAAAACAAACTCAAGGGACACTTCAGACACAATCTGAACCCATTAACTGAGTAGAATCTTTGAAACTTCACCAGGTAGAAGATTTAATTCAAGTTAAAATCCAAATTAAACAACCCTACACAGAATTACACCCAGACAAATTGAGAAATTACAATAGAGGAACAGCTCTGCAGGGCTTGGTTTATCTGTAAGTCAATTCTCAGAAACTTTTAGACTAACCCATAAAATAGAATTAGCCAAAACACTTGGATTGGTACTATAATTACAACAAATATTACTAGTACACTTCCCCATCCTAACCAAAGAACCAGGGAACAGCTTGGTGGTGGTCTCGTTTGAACCTCCCAACTGACCTTCCTTTGTTCTCTCCTTCAGCACGATGCTGACCCACAAAAATAACCACTAAAGAGTGGCATGGGTTTGTTTCTCCTCCCTGGACAGTTGTCTGGGGGAGTAGTTGAAATTCAACCTAGGAATCTAGGTTAAAATAAAATTTCCACCACACTTGAATGTGGGCTGGAGGTCTGAGCAGTGACTTGCTCCTCCCTAGAGGTCATCTAGGGGAGTGAAGAAGATATTCTGTCCATAAGAGTGACAGAATGGGAGCATTGCCCATGAAACTGGGCAGGGATGAGCTTGTCTGATCATTCAGACACAGGTTTTTTGTTGGGGGTGGCCTGTCCATTGGTGGGACAGCTTGTTCACTATGAGGTGAACAATAGAGAGAATCCCTTTCCTTAGAAAGGGCCAGCCTTCCAGATGGAAAGGCAACAGAGAATTGAGCATGGTACAAAGAAGCACCACGCATTTTGGGGATCTGGCACTCAATAGTGCCAGGAATACACAGACCTTCCCTTGGAGGTGGGATGTCTGTTGGTAAGACAGATCGTTCACTATGCAGTGAACAACAGAAGAGAACCCTTTCCTTGGAAAGGGTTGGTCTCCCTTCCATGGAAGTGGTAGAGAATAATGAATCACCAAAATTGCAATGTAGAACAGCATTGCACATCTTGGTGACCTGGCACTGTTAAGTGCCAGGAAAGCGTCCCTCTTGGCCTGCAGAGGGCCAAGGGGGCAGATCAGATTCAACTTCCTGCAGAGTGGAGGGAGTAGGTGCTGCCGGGTTGTCAAACCCAGGAGTTGCCAAAGCAGTAAATGTAATAACAACCTGTCAGGATCCAGACCCCAGCTGGGAGTGGCTGGAGGGCAAGCCCAGGTGTGTGTCAGGGCATACACCCTGACCTAGCCCACACCTCACTCACACCCACACTCGCACCTGCATCTGCATGCACACCTGGCTGTTGCACCCCCTGCATGCACCCTGTGGTGGACGCTCCATGCAGCCAGATGCCCCAGGCCCCAGGTCTCGGGCCTCATGTGACTTCCGGATATCTCCGGAAGTTTTCGTTATATTGAGCCACTGTGGAAAGGTGAGAAGTTAGCTTCCTTCTCACCTTCTTACCCACAGCAGTGTGCCCTGGACAGGGCTGTTTGTCTTTAGGATTGTGGGCCATGGGGGGGGGTCATGGGGACCCATGAGTCGTCCCCTGACAGTGTGGAAGCTGGGGTACTCTCCCCAGCTGCTAACTCAAAGTTGCTGAGGGGACTAGCCTCAGCCTTCACAGGGAATGAGCTGAGAAGGGTAAGCTTCTCATCCCTGTGAGGCCAATGCAAAAGGACCCTAGGAACTACACAGTTCCCGCTTGCTGCCGACTTCCCATAATGGGAGTGACCCATGGGAAAGTTCTGGGCAAGCTGCTCTCCCAGAAAGTTCCCACAGCTGTGGCTGTGCATTTCTGGGCAAGCAACTCACCCAGAACGTTCCCACAGGTCTGCACATGTGCATCATTGTGTGAAACAGTAGGGGGAAGGATAGGGGGAATGGGGAAATGTGGGGAGAGGGTGGTTGAAGAAAGGGTGTGGGTGTCTGAGGGTGAGTGGGGTTGAGGGCTGTGCCCTGGTACAACCCCAGGCTGGATGGTGCAAGGGCATGTGAGATATCAAAAAAAGAATTTTCAATTTCAAAACCAACTAGAGAATTTTTTACCATGAAAATATCGGGGAAGAGTGAAGACCCTTAACTCCTTGAGTCATGTGTGGCCATTACTCCCTGAGTTTGAATGGATCTTGACACTTTATAGAGAAATAAATTTGTAGTATGGTATCAGTGTCACTAGTTGCCTAGTGGCTAAATTGTTGTTTGGCATTGTAGAGTATTGAATGTGTTGGAGTTTGATTCTCTGCAGTGGACTTATACTTTCTTTTGCCTGCCTGCAGTTCATTGAAGTTGAACCATGAGAATGCAATACTTATACAAAGTCATAGAAGCACCTTAGTATCAATGAACCGACTTGAATGGGGAGGCCCAAAACAAAATAAACAAACAAACAGACAAAACAACAACAAAACAAAAAACAAAAAATGACCCCAAGTGGGACTTGAACCAAAGTACCCCCATCTAATGTAACAGATGGGCTACAAGTGAACCACTGGGCAACCGGCACAGTGTCAGGGCAACCACACCTGACCATACAACCTCAGAACCACCTTCCCTGACCTCCCCCCACTTCCCTCATCCTCCCATCTCCACACACCTTTCGCAACTACAGCCCGCATGCAAACCCGCAGGAAAAATCACATGGGTCAAGGCAAGCAACTCACCTTAACCCATGTGACACCTTTTCCACATTGTGGGAACGTGCTCGGCTCCTACCCTTAGTCACGTTACAAACTGTATAGTACACTTCCCTTTTATAGTAGCCAAGCAGGGAATAGGGAAACTTACCCTTCTTCTCAACTCAATCCCCACTTAGGCAAGTTGTAGCTACCTTCCATAATACATGACAACTCAGTCCCCGCTTAGTGAGTTTGAGGAGCTTGGGGTAGGATCCAGCACTTGGCTGCCTGGGACACCGCAAGTGTCCAGTTCTGAGGTAGGGCCGCCCCCGGACAGAGGCCGGGCCCTGACACACAGGCCATAACAAAGTCAAAAATCATTTTTCCATAACACTTGAATATCAATTCAAACTAATGGAGTAAGATTAGCATGTGATTCAGGGCCTGTGAGGCCCCGGCCCATGTCTATATTCCACCCACAACATCAATTGATGTTGTGTTGTCTGATAATTATGTCGCGACACTAATTTAGCATCATGGAAGCTTCTCTATTTATTTGTGCCGAGAATGCATTAGAATGTATATAAACCCTCAGGGTAGCTGTAAAAGGCAGATCAGCCTTTACTTCTACCCCATCAATATACAGCAACTAAAAGCATATACTTAGACAAACCATCTGAGGCCTGAGGCGAATGGGGGAACTGTCAGGGGACAGTCCCTGGGTCCCCATGACCCCTCTCTATGGCCCACAGGCTAACCTGTAACAGCAGCCCATCTCAGGGCATAACACTACTGTGGGTAAGAAAGTGAGAAGGTTAACTTCTCACTTTCCCACAGTGGCCCACTATGGTGAAAACTTCTGGGGATACCTGGAAGTCACATGAGAAATGGGAACCAGGCCTGGAGCATGTGGCGCATGGAGCATGCGGGGCAGAGCACACATGCGGGTCCGGGCTAGTCAGGGTGTGTGCCCTGACAGGAACAGAACATACTGTCCCCAAAACAAGTAAGAAACCCTTCAGGGCCATACTCCCTGATATTATCAAACAAACAAACAAAGATTGGATTCAAACTCTGGGACCAAAAATAAAAATCTATTTTCTTCACATGCCCTTGTGACATCCAGCCTGGGGTTGTTATTGCATTTACTTTGCTGAAGCGCTGGGCAGCTCCATGAGCTGGCACTTGGCAGCAGCTGAAGTGCTGCCGATTCCATCTAAAACCGATGGTAAACAAGCCATTTGGTCCCTCATAATATCGCTAGATTGACACTTGGCTCCCACTGGGGCAGGAAAGTCATTGAGACTTCCACACAGCAAAGCGCTGGGTGGCTTGGTGCAGTCACACTCTGCAGCATTAGAGGAATGGTTATTCTGTCCCACACTGGGTGGAAGTGAAGTCTCAGAATGGCTTTCCAGCATACAAGTGAGTGGGGAAGGAAGTTGGGCCTGATTGGCCACAGGTGGGTCTGTTCTGAGAGTTCCCCAGTTGCTGGGTCACTTGGTGAGCTGGCACTTAACTGCAGCTGAAAACCCATCAATTGGGTTTGAAGACGACTCAGAACATGTCATCTGTCTCATTCCAGTCTCTGGAAAGGAAGAGGAACAAGTCTGTGCTGGTATGTAGCACAGTGGATTAGGGAAAAGTGACCACTGGATTTCAGGGTGGCAAGGCATACTGAAAGAGAAGGAAGGTGGGAAGAAAGATGGATTGGGAAGGAGGAAACAGGAGTGGGAAGCCCATGGGGAACCACAGTCTTGGAAATCCTTTGCCTTCCAGCAAGGTGTTGCACACCATAAGTGCCATTCTCATGAAGCCATTGTCATATCCATACCAACTCCGCCTCACCTCTGCTCTACTCCGCCACAGCTCTGGTCCACCTCCAGTCTGTCCTACCCCCACACCTCCACCATACCCTCCAGTCCACCTCCACCTCCAATCTCCAGTACCTTCTCTGGTACCTCTTATCCTCACCTTAAACGTTTATTAGTATTTCTACCTACCCAATATTACTACGGACCTCCTTGGACCTCCACCATGCCTGCAAAGGTTTTCCCACTCTCCAGTAGCTGTCACTAATTCCACCCTTCACCTACCCACTCCACAATGCTTGATAAGGTGATTCTCTCATGAGCTTGCCAATCCAGCAAGTGGGTAAGTGTCAGGGCATGCCTGTGAGGGATCAGCAATGACCCTGGACCCTACACCGGCTGCGCATATGCACATGGGAAGTATGCTGGTAATTCCCATCTACTCCGCTTACCTAAGCCCTGGTGGCCCAGATCATCTCCGGAATTGTTCTGGAACATTCTATGATCACACGATTCTATCAGCAATCCATTTGGTTTCCTTATTGCCAGACTCTACATGTATATAGCTGACCCTAAGATGGGGACATCCCTTTCCCCTGGCTTTAATCACAACTAGGTTATCGGAGCAACCTGTGTGAGCATGCACATCCCCTGACAATGCCCTGACATGCCCCACCCAACCCCCGCTCCGCACCATGTCTTCCTTCTTTCCTCTTCCTTTCCTCTTTCTTCCTTTCTCTCTCTTACATGGACCACCTTTCCTGCTGTTCAATGTATCACCAGGGTGCACACCCATTTCCTCTCCTGTATCTTACCATCCCTATATCGCTGTCATCGCCACCATGCTCGCCCTGTGCCTACAATGGACCCTCTCAGGATCTCCCATGGAGACACCTGGAGACCCATGGCTGTGCGCGAGGGTGACGTGATTGACCCTGCATGTATATAATAACAGCTGGAGTGGGAACCGAAGAAGTAGCCTTCTTCTCACATTCCCACTTCAGGCAAGTAGTGTAGCCCTCCCCTTGAATGATAACTCACATTCCCACTTCAGACTAAGTGGTTGGGGATGGTCACCCCGTGACAGGATCGCCACTATGCACAGCCACTATTTGTCCCACTGAGTCCTGCACACCAGGACCTCACCGCTTTCAGAGCTGTCCCTGACAGTAAGTCCCTCTTGGGTTTTCCCCTTTGTTCCCATTTGTCTTCTATTATGTATATAAGTCCTGTACTGTAGTTGATGGCACCTTAGTGCAAAATCGACAAACAACTATCCCCCAGAGTTCACGCCCCTCGTTCTGAAGTTAAGGACTAAACTCTTAAGTGTTACCAAACGTAGGCACAGTGCTCCACTCTGAGTTGCTGAGGCCATGGTCCTCCCACCCATTCTCTACCTCTGGCCTCCTTCCAGGGAAAGGTCCAGGGACACTGCCCCTCCTTGCCATGTCTTTGACAGCCATAGTGCACCAGAAAATGCAGTTCCAGCTCTTCTTCCACAAAAGAGCCCATTCAAACTTTTGCTTGAACATCTTCTCCAAATAGTTCTCTAAGCCTGGGGCATAGAGTGGGCATGTGAGTGCATGGAGGCAGGAAGTAACTCCATGGAGTTCTGCCTGGCAGTCTGATTCCACTCTCTGGAACATAAAGTCGGCATATGCATGCATGTCAACCTGATCAGGCTCAGACATCACTGAATGTACCTCTGGATGAGGTCAACATCAGCCTCAGCACCGGGAGTGTTGCAACTTTCAGAATGATAGTCAGCGCATAGTTGAGGATATCATCCTCATCATACACTGACCCATCAGGGGAGTCAGGGTTTCCCAGATCCTGAGATTGGGAGGGTTGGCCTCTACTCTGAGGCAAAGCCTAGGTGAGTGTGCATCTAGGAATGGCACACACATGATTTATGCATGAGAACTAAGTGCAAACATTGCCAATGCGCATTGTCAGGGTAGACAACATGTGTGGGACACAGTAGGGTTCCGGTGCCGATCATGGTACCAAGATTGTAAAAGGAAACTAGCTTAAAAAAGTGAAAGGTTTTGCTTACTATTTGGGGACAATAACATTCTGTTCCCCTGTTCACCTCAGGCCTCAGGCATTCCATCTAAATATAAGCTTGGATGTGCTGTATATTCAACAGGGTAGAGGTAAAAGGCTACCTGTCAGGGCACACCCACCTGACCCGGCCCCACCCAACCCGGCGCCCCACCATCCGCCCCTCCCGACCTCCCCCTCTTTTCCCTTCCCTTTCTTCTTCCCCTTCTTTTCTATTCTCTCTCCTCTTTATTCCTTTCTTATCACATGGACGACTTCCTTTGTATCAATGTACCATTGACCCGGCTGCAGTGTAACGCGCCCGAACCCGGACACACTGGATGACCCCCCGCATACCGGACGCTCCTAGGACCTCTTACAGAGGCACCCGGAGGGAGGTGGCTGTGTGCTTGGATGACGTGGCGCTTCCCATGTGGCCTTCAACCACATGTATATAAACACAGCCTAAGTGGGAACTGAGAAGCAACCTTCTTCTCACATTTCCCACTTTAGGCAAGTAGCTTACACTTCCCCTGATAATAACAATAACACATTTACCACTTTAGTCTCAGTGGCCAGGGACCCTTGTCTGCTTCGGGCCCGTTGTTACGCGTGCCCGCGTCATACCTACCGGACCCTCAGCCTCGGGCGATACACCTGGGCACTCTCGACCCCGGGTCGGTCCCTGACACTACCAGGCCTTTACAACTACTCCAAGGTATATATATGTAAATTACACATCTTGGCACAAATAAATAAGGAAATAACAGCATCACTATAATGGGAATTATAGTGAAGTAAGGTTAATCCCTCACAGAATCGCACATTTCTTCATCAGTTCTCAACCATTTTCCATCAGGTCTTTTGTGATAAATTCCTCTCAATCACCTCTTTATTTCATCCAACTCATGATTCTGCATGCACACAGCTGTCAGGGTTCAGCACCCTCCCTTAGGGTGCCCCAGACTCCCCACCTACTTTACTCCCTTTATTCTTTGATTGTTGCATTGTTGTTGCCTTTGTGTGTTGTGTACACATGTGCATGAGATAGCATGGGAACTTTCTGAGAGAGCAGCTTGCCCAGAATGTTCCCATGGGTCACAGCCACAATTCTGGGTGAGCAACTTGCCCACAATGTTCCCATGCATTCTGGGCACTGCCACCTGGATGTTCCCTCCGGGTCACACTACACAACTCTAGGAGCTGTATAGTTGTGGGCATGTGACCCATTCCCTTATATAGCAACCATGCAGGGAGATGAGACCTTTATACTTCTTTTCATCTCATGCCCCACATAGTGTGAGGACAGTGTCATATCCATCCCTGGCCATTGACTTCCAATCCCTCCAATCCCTCTGGTCTACCTCCGCTCCTTCTTTACTAACCTCAGAGCTCCTGTATTCTGCAATCCCCTCAGTACCCCTCGATGGTCACCACCCCCTCCTTTCAATTTATTACCCATGCCTCCCTAAGTACGGAGCCCCAAAGGCTTCTGGACAGCTCCGATGTCCGCTAGTGCACCCCCACCTCTGCTGGGCAATACACTCACTTGCCCTGCAAAGCCCACCTTCAGGCCTATCCCTCCTTTCCGCTTCTGGGTTATCACCTGCCTTTCCGTTAACCCCGTAACCTGACTCGTCAGTAATATTCAATTGGCTAATGTTTAACCCCGTTAGCTCGGCTCTGCCATTTACAGACCCACCCTCACTGTAACCATATATATACTCAACTTGTACATAGGTTACACCTCAGTAATAAAATCAACTAGAGTTTACCCCCTTCAGTTCTGGTTGCCAGTTTAGTAAGTTAGGGCATGGACGTTGTAGGCGGGATAATTGCCCACGCACAGAGCCGGCTCGGATACCCGCTTCCACCATTCAGAAAACCCCTTCCATTCATGTGACAACTCGATACGGATTTGACATATAAAAATAGTCCTAATTCGTGCGATTCTGACGATATCAAGAACGTCCCAATCGGTGGAGATTTGACGGAGTTCCGTGTTGGAGAAGTTAGACACAGCAGGTCACGGGCATGTGCGGGCGTGGGAATCTCAAGCGGCAACCCAGAATTCCAGCCTCACTCGTTCCCATGGCGTCTGATAAATTGGTAAAAATGCTCATTGGCTGCGTGAGAGTTATCTCCGGCTTCATTTCCAATTTTGGCCTTTAATTCCGTAAATCCGTTGAGATATCGCTTATTTCCTTATATTTTCATATTTTTGCATCATTTCAGTTATTGATCAATATTCTTTTATTGATACTGTTACCCTTTTTATTATTTCGCCTAATAAGGTACCCAGGTGCCATATGGCACCAATATTTGCCATCTATTCTTTCTAAAAATAATTATTAGATATAATCCTGTACATACCGGATTCTGGAATAGAAGTTCTCCCCTCCCCCAAAATTCTCTAAGGTGCTAGGATGCGCTAGAGAGGGTGTGAGTGTGTGGAATTCCAACAGTAGGAATAAGGGCAGTGATCTAGCTCACAACGAGTGAGTAGTGGACGCTGAGCGGCGGACCTTGTGGAAATCCCGGAGAACCCACCTCGGAGTTAAGGATCGAGAGTATAGCGAGTTCAGTCAAGAAAGTAGGAGTTTAGGGAGTTTGGCCCCACGAGCTTAGTCGGCATAGAGAGCCGCTAGCCCTCTTGCAACGTGTTACTTGGCACAGCGCTCCTGGCATAGGTCGCTGAGGCTGAAGCCCTCCGCCATGGAGACATTCCCTCATCTCAACCTGGTCTCTGACAGACAGGTTAGATGGGGGTTGAGGTCAGGGAGCCTCTGAGCCCGAGGCTGGGCCCTGACAACAGCTCCAGAAGTGGATTGTGAATTAAGGACATCCCAGGACATTGTTGCTTGAACATTTTGAATTGTCAGGATGTCTCAGGACATCCTAGGATGTTCCCATACAAAAGAGGCCTCTAGGCCCTCACTACACCTAGATATTGTTGGAGGACAGCCTCGAAACATGTATTTACATATGTTTGTGCCGACAATTTATTTAGCGGTCTACTACCATCTTGTCCGACTCTGGCCCTGGAACTGCCATAACCCTATATTTTTCTATAGATATCGGCCATCCAAGGTGTGTATTGTCTTGTATTGCTTGGGTTGTTTTTTGTATGTATCATGTCATGTAATCAGAACCCCAACTAGATTTGATTTCATGAAAAAGTGAAGTAACATCAATTATGTGCATAAACCCAATCAGCTCAATCAAATGCGTAATTGGTGTGATCTAGATCAAGGGACCTGATTGGAGTGATTGGAGTTTAGGTGACAATGGAATGATCTCAATCACCTCAATCGGCCTCAGGGTTTTCCTGATGTAGTGAGGTGATGATGTGATACAAGTGAACAAGATCAATCAAGAAATAAGGTAGGAACAGATTGAAAGCAAAGATAATTGTAAGACAGTGATGACGGACTGGGAATACAATATCCGACGTTCACCTGCGGTTGCGGCGTTTTATAACAGCCGGTTGCACCTCGCCTGTAATGTGTTGTGTCACACTGGTTCTACATACCACCAGCCGAGTACTGATATTGGTGTCAACACCTGCCCTTCGGCAGAGATATTGAGGATCAAATGAGATAACCATCGTCAATGATCAATATTTTTCCATTCTCTCTTTCTTCCACCCTGTCAGATTAGCTGTTGCTCCCCATTTACATGAAGGCTTTGCTTGGTCACTTGTTGCAACGACTCACGCCAGCGGAACTTAATTGCCCCCTTTCTTCTGCTCTCAAGCTGCGGTGGAGGGTTTTCCAACATGTTCAAGCGCGCTGCTCTGTCCCTACTTCTCTTCACTGCCTTTGTTTTCGCTGTCCAAGAGCGGGAGTTACGCCGCCTTGCACCTCGGCTTCGAGACCCTGTGCACGAAGATACGAACGCGAAGCGATTCGCGAGGGGTTTGCCTCCTTTACCGCCGAGGAGGAATATTGAAGCCTCACGAACTGATGGTAAGTTTGCAGCCATCTCCAGCGATTGCACGTAGCACGAAGGTGTATGTTGTGACTATCAATGCGGTTTGATCTCCAGCTGCTCGAAGGTCACTGCCCAGCGACACCCAAATCTGGAGCGGCAAAATTAAAGTATCCAGCGTCAAGGATACGATCGGACCAGAGAATAAGGCCCTCGGATACCTCGCACTGAACGCTAATCAGACATAGTGGGTTTCCGAGTCGTCCACTTTCTTCAGTTGTGTCGCATCTGAGTTGACACCTACTGGAATTGATCGATAGCTATGTGGTAGTTAGCGACTTGAACAATGCCAGTACATTCACGGCTACATTACGTCAATATGGTATCACTACAAACGTGAGCTTCAAGGATAAAGTACGTTATCTTTCTTCCTTTGTCTACCATTGAGTTTGCTTTCCAAATGCAATTCTCCAGAATGCTCCAGCTTCCCAACAATATTTGGCAGGTCTGATCCCGGCGGGCGGTGGAAAACTCACACTTCTGGGGACTTCAGAGTTAAGTACGTCGATCCGGGAGCATTGTCTAACCCGATCTAACTCCCCCAATTTCCCCTTATAAACGTCAAACGCAGCTTCACCCGATTCCCCCCCTCACGGTGGTGGCTCAGTTTCCATCCCTGGAGCGAGCTACAAGACAGTAATCTTTGATTACTATGTTTCCAACGGCAATCTTACAGCCAAGTGGGTTAATGACAGTGAGTGACTCTGGTTCCATTCGGGGATTCGTACCCTTTGGCAGTGAAGGGGCCTCTCTATCCACATTGCATGGCGACACTCATTTGGAACACTCCCGCACAGCCACACTATCAATCGTGTGGGATCCACAGGCACAGCAGATCTATCTCTCGGTAGATACGGGGCTCATCCTCATCGATGCTGCTCAGTTTGTGGTGTGTATGTCTGGTTGTGTTCGAGCCTATGTAGCTGATTTTTTACGCGTGTCCTTGCAGATGCTCTCTGGGGTAACTAGATGACTGACAACTGGCCACAGACTCCTTACTCGCTGTAAGCCATGCAGGTTTGGCTCTTTGCCTATCCCGTTATCGAGACATGAGAGAAACATATATAGTGTATTTTGAGCCTATAATCAAATTGTTTGATGCATTATTTGTCGAGATCGTGAGTATGAAACTATGCAGCTACTGATGAAGCAGAAGACAGCCAAACTGCATATTGATCGATTATTTGTTTAAGATGGGCCTTCCTTGGGCCAGATTTGAGGCTTCGGGCCTTTGTCTGGGGCAATATGAGTTCATCTTCACCCAAGCTACGGTGTTTATTAATCTGAAGTATAACCTGCTCCCCACATCACGAAAATCGGACTGGCGCTCCCACATGGTCCAGATGCTCCCAGGTGCTCTGGAGCCTCCGGAGTGCTCTGGACCAGGGGACCTTGCTCTAGTTGCCTGTCCAATTTTCGTGATGCATTCAACTTCTCGACTTCCAACGGGTCCAGTATTAGTCACGCTTCCAGCTCTCTTTTCATGGTCTTGGCTTGCTCTTGCTCTTGTTGGAGGACAGTGTGCTGAGGCCAGTGGGTTGTCACACAACCATTAGTTTGCTCCAACAGAGCAAATGGTCTGAACAGCCACATTCCCGCGGTAGCGTGACTACTTGGTCACAACACCTTTTTCTTCTTACTTATTTTGATCACTTCAGACTTATCCGCGAAGGCCACAAACTATATTCAATCTTTTGAATTAGTTTCCTTTTTCCTCAGTTCTTGTGCATATTAGTGAGACTGAGGTCAGTTACTCATCTTTCATTCCTTGTATCTTACTGTACCCACGTGACCAACTACCGGTGCATCCCAAGCATGACACAAAATTTCTGCCAGGTGATGAACCAGGAGCTCATTTTGATGCGTGACAACCCGACCAGCAGGCACGTGACCTTGGCTGTGGGAGCGTGATCCAAAAGGAAACCAACATGCTGGTGGTTATGTTTGGTAGCTAGAATAAATGTGATTAATTTGAAAATGAGTTTCCCTTTAAAATTTCTTTGCACCTAAGTATGGATGGTTTTGCTCTTGCACGACTTATACAGATGAGCCCATCCTGTACAGCGGTATCCCAAATGCACTTATCGGATCCTACTTTCCCTGTTATAGGAATGGAGTCTCTCGTGACCGTGTCAACCGAATGTCCACCACGGCCCTCCTTCTCCATATCCTCCCTTCTCTTTGTTACCTTCTCCCTGCTTCCCCCCATTCTTACACGTTCACTCCGCGCTAAGCTTTCCCTTATCGGGTTTTGGTGCTGGCTGGAATATTTATTCTATTTCGCGAGATTTCTCGCGATCATTTCTTATTCAATAGTTAGTGTCACGTTTATGTACGGCAACAGCCGAAAAGATGAAACCTAACGAATAACACACCATCCTCTTCTGTGCAACAACTGTAAACCTCCTTGTGCCAACACTGTATCGTCTGTGTAAGATTGTGTATGTCTTGGTCACCGTCTATATGGGTCATCCCTGCCGAGGTTGACGACTCTAGCCATGGATCATCGAGTTCGCGCGTGACTCAACTCAGGTATGCGCGATCACCTTTTGTTACGACTCACATCGTTTGCCCAGGTACTGGGCTCATGTCTGTCTCACCTTATGGTGAGCATCTGGTTAATTCTACAGATGGATGGGTATTTGATACAAGCCCGTTCCCTTCATCGCCGGTACGCTCTTGCGAGCACCAAGTAGCCATCGAACCCACCATGTGTCGTTCAACCTATGATCGACTAACTCCTCCGTCACCGGTACACTCTTACGAGCGCCAAGTACCCATTGACACATATACAGACCGTCTGCCAGATGAACAGTCTCATACCTCGTTGCCGGTATGCCCATCTGGGTGCCAAGTATCCATCAACCCAGCCTCTGGCAGCTCCCTCAAGGAGCTGGAACATCACTCGTTGCCGGTACACCCAATTGGGTGCCAAGTACCCGTCAACCAATTCTCAGGAAGCTCCCTCAAGGAGTCGTTATCTCACTCACTACCGGTACGCTCCCTCGAGTGCCAAGTACCCGCTAGCCCTATGTCCTCGACTAGTCCCGCTCTGGACATTCTCTCAACCTGTGATCCTATATACCCGCACATGGTACACTCATGTAATGAGCGCCAAGTATCCGTCGTAACAGACTCCCATTCACTGCAAGGTCTCAGCTTTCTGTCAAAAGCTCCATGGCCATCGGACAATTCTAATTACATGACTAAACCGCCCTACATACATGAGGTGGACGATTCTAAGTCGTCTATAAGGACGGAAAGAAGTGGGTTGCCCTTAACCCATTTCTTTAACATTCCCAGACACACCCTGTCTGTCGCTGGATTTCTCTGGTTCCCATCATCCAAACAAATTTATCTGCATCTCCCAGTAATTCTGGCACCCTTGATGATATCACCACACTCCCTTCCTCTAGCCTCAGCTTGGATCTTGGCTGTGGAATGCAAGCAAGGTGGACACACAATTTGGAGGAGATGAAGATTTTTCACTTCTAATATAAATATTACTAAAAAGGGCATTTGAAATATAGTTGCATAGCCACTGAGCTGCCACCAAGGAATTTGCATGACATGGGCTGTTCAACCACACCCCCAGCATGACATGTGACTGGTAGTTGGTTGCATGGGTACAGTATACTCATTGTATATAATAGTTCTTGCACATCTGGGCTACTTCTTTAGCTTCCAGTGGTTATTCTGTTAGCCCTTGTTTCTGGTCTTCTGCTTCCTTCACTGCAGCACTGACTAGGATCTCCCTCAGCCTAGTCAGCCATCTAATGACGGCCTATAGAGGGGGGGCTGTTTGGCCTTCAAATGGGCCTAAAAGGGGGTATTTACTAGTGGATGTCCTGGGATGTCCTGGGATGATTCTATAATTCAATCAAATTCAATCAAATGCTTCTGTGATTCAATCAAATTTGTATTATTCAGGGTAGACATTCAAAACATAATGCCACAATTGAATCTGATTTCCCATGACAATCCTCAGGCCGCTCAACTGTCTGTGCACAATGCTGGCCACTGTCTGAAGGGGTGTCAACACTGTTTCCCACACCCCCAACTGTTAGAGACCAGAACGAGACAAGGAGTTGTCTCCATGGCAGAGGGCTTCGGCCTCAGCGACTCAGGCCAGGAGCGCTGTGCCAAGTTACATGTCCATGGCCTAATTTACTTACTGGAAATGAGAACTAAAAAGGAGGATCAACTCTAGTCGATTTTATCACTGGGGTGTAACCTATGTACAAGTTAAGTATATATAGTTACAGCGAGGGCAGGCCTGTGAATGGTGGGGCCAAGCGGAGTGGAGCTAATGGAGTTAAACATCAGCCAATTGAATATTACCGATGAGTCAGGTTACGGAGTTAGTGGATGTTAAAGAAATGGGTTAAGGGCAATCCATTTCTTTCCGTCCTTATAGACGACTTAGAATCATCCACCTCATGTATGTAGGGCGGTTTAGTCGTGTAATTAGAATTGTCCGATGGCTGTGGAGCTTTTGACAGAAAGCTGAGGCCTTGCGGGGAATGGGAGTCTGTTACGACAGATACTTGGCGCTCGTTACGTGAGCGTACCGTACGTGGGTGTATAGGATCACAGGTTGAGAGAATGTCCAGAGCGGGACTAGTCGAGGACATAGGGCTAGTGGGTACTTGGCGCTTGAGAGAGCGTACCGGTAGCGAGTGAGATAACGACTCCTTGAGGGAGCTTCCTGAGAATTGGTTGATGGGTACTTGGCACCCAATTGGGTGTATCGGCAACGAGTGAAATTCTAGCTCCTTGAGGGAGCTGCCAGAGGCTGGGTTGACAGGTACTTGGCGCCCAGACAGGCATACCAGCAACGAGGTATGAGACCGTTCAACTGGCAGACGGTCTGTATATGTGTCAACGGGTACTTGGCGCTCGTAAGAGCGTACCGGTGACGGAGGGGTTAGTCGATCGTAGGTCGAACGACACGTGGTGGGTTCGACGGCTACTTGGCGCTCGTGAGAGCGTACCGGCGACGAAGGGAATGGGCTTGTATCGAATATCCATCCATCCGTAGAATTAACCAGATGCTCACTGTAAGGTGAGACAGACGTGAACCCAGTACCTGGGCAAATGACGTGAGTCGTAACAAAAGGTGATCGCGCATACCTGAGTTGAGTCACACGCGAACTTGCTGAACCGTGGCTAGAGTCATCAACCTCGGCAGGGATGACCCATATAGACGGTGACCAAGACATACACAATCTTACACAGATGATACAGTGTTGGCACAAGGAGGTTTACAGTTGTTGCACAGAAGAGGATGGTGTGTTATTTGTTCAGTTCTGTCTTTTCGGCTGTTGCCGTACATAAACGTGACGCTAACTATTGAATAAGAAATGATTGTGAGAAATCTCGCGAAATAGAATAAATATTCCGGCCAGCACCAAAACCCAATAAGGGAAAGCTTAGCGCAGAGTGAACGTGTAAGAAAGGGGGGTAGTGGGGAGAAGGTAACAAAGAGAGGGGAGGATATGGAGAAGGAGGACCCGCCAT